TGGGCACTATTTATTTTACACATTTAACATTAACATCATGATAGGTTTAGGTCTACTAATAGGTTGCCATTCCCACAGCATCTTTTCCTGTCTCTTTTTGATAAATATTTTCATGACGCCTTTATTTCCTTGAAGTAACTTAAAAGTCTGCAGTCTGAACCAGCCATTTTTCCACCATATCTTTTAGTTTTCAGGTCATTAAAAACAGCCACTTTCTTTTCAAATCAAAAGCTTCTTATATGTTGCAAAAAAAAAACAATAATTAATAAATCTACACTTACAGTCAACTTTTTGTTTGTTCAGCGTTCCCATTTTATCGACACGTGAATGTTGAACAGCAATGCTTTCAAAAACAAAAAATGCTGAAAGGAAATCTTGTGTTGGTCATCATGTGTCAAGGACACAACCTTTCAAAAAAATCCACAAACTTTTCTCCTAACTAAGAATATTTATTTAGATAATGAGAAACTGTGTAAATGTTATGAAAAATAACATTAAAATTTTTACTATATTTTGTCTTATTAATTCTATTTTTCTATTAAAATTATTAACTTATTTTTTTATATTAACTATTATATATTTTTTAAAAAGTGTTTACTTAATATTAATTCTACTAATGAATCTGAACTAATTCATTAGACAGGGCCAATAGAGCGACTTATACTACCTATTGAAGGGGAAGGCGAGGAAAAGAAACACAATGGACAGGCCTATGTTGTTTTTCAACATCCAGAATCAGTTCAGTATGCATCTCAGGTATATACTATTTACGTTTTTAGTGAACAGATGGATGAAATGTATATACAATGGAAAACATCCTTTTGCTTATTAAGAAAAAAGTTAATTACTGTACACTGTAAAGGGTAAATTTCTTTAGTCTGATCATACACAAAACATATATATATATACCATATTGCACTATTTTAATTTTACTATCATCCAATTCAACAAAATACCTTTATGTCTGTTGACAAGCTAAGAGAAAAAAATACTTTCCTAGTGTGTCTGAGCTAGGGAACTACAGTCACTGAGGCAGGAGGAGCAAGTACGTTTTTCAGAGTTTATACTATATGATTTCCTTTTTTGTATAGAGATTCAGTCTTATTTTCCATATTGCTATTACAAGTCTAATTTTTTTCTTGATAAATACATTGATTAATAAACAAATTATAGCTTTTATATTGCGCTACTTTCATGCTTATAGCATTTTCAGAGTGCTATGGTCCAATCTCATTTGTGGACCTGTGTGTGTGGGGGTATCTGGAGAAGGTTTTCAGTGCTGTCTTTAGGGGCTAAGTAAACAACTCTGCCAGAGTCAGGTGTCCAACCTCGAGTCCCCTTTATAGGTAGCCAAGCCAAGCCAGGTTCAAATGGTCTTAGCCTCTAGAGTCTAGACCATGCTTCCCACTAATAGTGGTTTGGAGCAGTTGTTTACTTGGCTAGTAACTTTTTCATTTCATTATCTGTGGGCAACAGAGATGGTTTTTAAAATAGGTAAAAAAAAATAATAAAAAATTACATTTTTTTATTTTAAGTCTCTTAGAAAACAAAAAGTTATTTAAGACCATGATTCTGAAAGTGAAAAATGTACTTATCTAAATTATGCTTCACAGGTTCTTGAAGGATCATCACTTTTTGCTCATCCACTTGCATTAAAAGCTAGAGCACTTCCTGTCACATATAAAAAGCCAATCAATGGCCAAGGCAGAGGACGATTCGATAATAATTCATTACGAGGAGGAATGAACAAGTCCACGACATGGCATGGTGGAAGTGATATGACACCTCGTGGGCGTGGGAGCTACAGAGGCCGTGGGGGCACAACAAACTATACCCAAAATACTGGGTACACCTACAGTACATATGCTACTGCTACTAATCAGGTTGGCAAATCAATTACATGAACCAAAGAAAGTTTTTAACTATCTTGCATTTTAATTTTTCTTCTTGTCTTATACACAATGAGAAGATACATTTAACTATTTTTTTGTTTGTTTTAGTGAAAATCAGATGCGTATAGCTCTTTTCATTGTTTTTCCAACAATTTTTCAAACAAAACTCCAGAAACTGCAGTGTATAATTTAACCATAAATATTTATTTTCTAATTTTAAGGTATTGAAATGATAAATTATATAGTTTTTTCTCTTTGCTTAATGGTTGAATATGAATTTTTAGTACCCAAAATGAGAAGTAAGTTGAAGGACATATTTTAGCATTAGTAATAGGCTGTTTGTCAGAAGTTGTTTTTTTTTTTTTTTTTTACACAAAACAACAGTTAAACATGTATACATTTTCTCAAAACAAAGGGTCAAGTTGAACAAACTGTTTTTTTAACCATGCAGGAAAATATTGATATTTTAGAATATAAATTTAAGCTTTGCCAAAATTTGAACACTTATCTCTGTCAAAGTGCATCTTTCAGAGCAATGTAACTTTCTTTGTTTTTGTTTAGCTGGATAAAGTTAATTTTTGTCTATTTATTACAAATCATTACTTAAGGAAATAGAACTTAGTATTTTCCTTAAGACAAAGACACTTACCCTTAGCATTATGTTCAAACAGTGCATCTTAATCACTTTGTTAACCTTTGAGTCATAATTGTATTAAATGGGTTTAATACACAAGGGAGCTAACTACAATGTTTATATTATCGCAACTTCTGTTGTTTTTTTTCATTACATTTGCTTTTAAAATTTACTCTTGAAACAGTATGGCAAATGTGTAATGAAAAACAACATCTTTTAAAAATATTTAACTTTTTATAAGGCTTTGGGATGAACCATTCAGCTGCCAATTTAAAGGTCTCTTTTTGAATCCTAGTGAAAACTGACTTTTTTCAGGAATGTTTACCTGGACTTAAGTACCAGAGATCACCCAAAGGTTGCCTGCTGAAGAAGGTCAACGCAGTTGATCATTATACAGGCCATATAACCCACTCATAAACTTTGGCCACAGAAATTGAGCTTCACTTCACTTGCCCTATGGACAACTAGGTCTCAAGAAAATCTTTTGTTATTAGGCACTATATTTTTTTTTTCTATTTGCTGATACCATCCTTTTAAAAAATATGTTCATTTAACTTTTTTTTTTTTCCCTTTAGTTGGCTACCACAGCTTATTGGATGGCTGGTCAGCAGGTAGCTACAGATGCAACTCAGGTTGCAGCAGTGTATGCAGCCCCCACAACCGCCACTGTCGTAGATGACAAGAAGACCAAGATTTACCCACAGCAGAATGTCATGATGTATGGCATGGCCCAGACACAAGCTCAGCAGCAAGGAATGTGGGCCAGCAATAGCTATGCCAATTCGGCTGGAACTTGGGTCATGGGTAACAGTGGAGACACCTCATTGTATCAGGGCTACACAGATCAGTACGGCAACTGGTACCAGCAACAATAACATTCTGTATTTGTTTTCATAAGTATTTACCTGTTGTACCATATCTTGTTCTGTTCAGTGCTGAAATGACATGTAAATAGTTTTTTCTATGCTAGAACTGGTTGACACCTTGCTACCTAAAAATGTTACTATTTCAGTAAGCATTTTTTGTTATCACACATGTATTGCTAGGTAATAAACCTGAAGAGAAAGAAATTTAACTTTGAAATAGCCCAAATTCAAAACTTTCCTTTTTTTTGGCACATGATGATGATGGCTCTAAGAACAACTACAGGATATTGTGTTTTCTTAAAGCTCATCTTCAGTTGATTTAGAAGTAGTGAAAACAAAGTCAGAATGAATCAAAAGTTGTGCAGTTTTTTGCAGTAAGGTTAATCTTGTTAAAAAAAACAACAAACCAACAACCCAGATTCTGTTCCTTTAAAATTTATACAAGCACAATTTAAAGAAATTTAAAAAATGTATAAATGAGTTATTCTACAGTTCCATTGTTTTGTTACTTTCTGGGTCCAATATCCATTGTTTATAGATTTGAACATGTCATCAGATGAAGTAATTTTTTTTTTTTGTGTTCAACTGAATCTTTAAAGTAATTTCTATAAAAAAAATACTACTCAGTCTGTCATAGTTCAGTTTTAAAATATTGTAGTGACACCATGTGTGTGTGTGTGCCTCTAGTTGACCATCTCTCTTTTTACCCTTTTATTGGTGGGTTGTGCAACAGTGGTTTGTGAAAATATATTTTAAGTTGTCTCCCCTTTCAGTTACTCCAACCCCAGAACGTGTACAAGTTCAACCAATCCAATTAGCAGGGCCTGTCCTAGGGCAATGCGAACCTATGCGGCCGCAGTGGGCCCCACCCTAACTCTAGTTGTAAATTATTAAATAAACCATTTTAACTTATAACAGGGTTTCCGAGGTCTCCTGATTTTCCAGGAGCTCCTGGAACATCTCCTGAAATTGCAAAGTATAAGAAAAAAAGTCATGAAAATATCTTTAAAACTCAAAACCTGTTCTGAAAAATAGACAAAATCCTACTTGCGATTAAAAAAAACAACTGCTTTGTCAGCTTTCATTTAATAAAAATAATAGGGCGAATTTGAACCAAAACATTAAGTTCCAATATATTAATTTACTGTATGGCAATTTAACTATCTCGATTTCTTAAAAACAAAATCAAAAGCGATATTTTACTAGTCAATATTAAATCTAAAAGGCAGATCTGAATGTTTATCGTCTTTATGTTGGAAATCTACTTTCTATTGTAGATGGCTCGTAAAATTTTAGTTGACCTTGATTGTGCACTTAGTAAAGTACAAATAAAATGCAAAGACGAATTTATTTACTAGCAAAAAATCTTAATTTTCACTTATTATCGTTATCACTATAACCAGACTAGGCCCCGCCTAATCGATTTCGCATAGAGCTCTTCAATCTGTAAGACCGGCCCTGCCAATTAGGATAGAATTTGTGAATGTTCAGTTTCATTATTGGTCACAATATTCACTGAATACAAGTGTTTACTAAAGAAACCATTTGCATCTAGGTTTTATATCTGGTCATTTAGCACTGGGAATGAGAGTGTTCATTGTATCATGCAATGTACATAAACTGGCATTTCTGAAGCATTTAGACTTACTGCTTACTTTTAAATCCAAGCATTTTCTCTATTCTCTTATACTAAGAATAATGTTTTCATTTTTTTGAAAGTGAAGTCTAAATAGAACAAAATTGTAGCTTTATTTTTTGTTATGTTAACAGAGAGTTCAAATGTAACTGGGAAAGTAAATATGAAAACACATTTTGATACTATTTTTTTACTTAGACTTTGAAAATATGAAAATAGTTTCACTTGTACTTGTTTCAGGTTTCTGATGTCAGTGCTAATGTAAAGGTATATTTGTGTAATCTAGTTACCAACATTGAATGTGATCATGAGCTGATTTGTTTGTTCTCTCTCATGTATTTTGTTAAACTTTCCATACTTTCACTTCATTTCTGTGTGTGTTTTACCAAATGTCAACCTGGCATTGTTACCATGTCATTTTGCTGACAACCATCAGAACAGTCATTTTGTTTGAATCAGTTGTATGATTTGTTTGTCTGAGATCAAGGCATTCTTACTGGGTCAATGTTTCTCATATTTTCACTACAATTTCATCATCTTGCATCCAGTCACAAAAAAACTAAACTTAAAAACTAATGATCTGAGGTTTGTGATTTCTTTAGATCTACATGTTTTATATGCTGTATTAGTTAAAAGTTTAATTTTAAAAAGTACTTATGTACCTTGAATGGTACAAATAATTTAAAAAAAAAAAAAAAGATTAATATATTCCTTTACAACATAACTGTGTCTGTGTTGGAACAGCAATGAGTTTAATGATTTAACATTGAGCAATAACAGAACTTTCAAGATATTTTCTATACATGATAGTGTAATAACGGGTAAAATGATTAGTCTGAAGTAAAAAAAAATCTAACCATGTACTTGAAAACTTATGGAACCACTCCAGCAATTGATTTAAGTCATTGGTTAACATGAGGCTACTCCTTGATACACATCCACGGTCATGGGTTAGACACCTGTAATAACCAAATGCTGCAACGTGTTCAGCCTTTTCCCTACTTGGGTTATTTCATGACCCTCTCATTTAGGTTTGCCTTACGATATAAAACTTACGACTATCTGTCGTTCACAGCTGTCACAGACTTCTGTGCCACTGTGGACTGCATTTTAAAATTTAGTTCAAATAGTGGTATTGTACATTAAACCATTTTAACTTACAACAGGCTGGGGGCCTATATAACTCGCCCACAAATGACTAGTCGCAACAGAGTCGATAAAAGGATAAAATCTTAATCGACCACCGGCGGACAGTCGTTACACTTGCCGTGCCAGTGGCAAATTATGTAGGTCACAGCTGGGGCTGCGTGGCCATGGGAAATACTGCATTTCTCATAAATCTTCGGACTCAAGAGAAGACTTATTATTATTGGCCTATCATGAGCTTTTTCTCACAATTTTTGGGGTCTGTTTTAGAAAATCTACATGTCGCGCTTACATACACCAGAGAACCCGGTATCTTAGTAGTGGACGACTAGCAGGTCTACCGCCATCTGTTAGATCACCATACAGCACATCCCTGGAAGTCGACTCTGTGGCATTCGGTGAGTAAGCCAACCCCAAGGCTGCTGAAAAACAGTGCGTTGATTTGGCACCCAGCTCTTTGCAGGATTTCCTCATTGGGGATTTTGTCTAGCCACACTTTTTTTTAAAAAGAATTTTCCTTTCCCGCCAAAAGCACATTACCCAGACTTCTTTCTCGTATAGCGATGTACTTAGTACATAAGAATAACTAAATTTTAAAGTTGAAATTGCAGCGCCTATTTCATATAATTTCACCTTCTGACCCCGACTGCTTTTAAGTTGGAAGCCTCGTTTAAATTATTTACAGCGTGCGCAGTTGCACGAAAAGATCTTATATAGGTGAGTGCGTAGCTTGCGTTAGAAAATATATAGCTCACAACGGTGTGCGTAGTAAAGACTCTTTGAAAACGTGGGCCCAGCGTTGTATAAAAGCGGCCCCACAGTTTGCTCACCTGGGTGGAATGTCAATGGCGAGCCCAATACAATAAGCCCAGCACAGATGTAGTGCACATTTATCGAACTATTTCATCGATCAGGTGGAGTGCGATCAATAGCCTATATGGTGAAAACCGCGCAGAGCTTTTTAGAAGGGTAAGGGCGAGTATGAGGCAGACACACACACACACACCACTGTGACGATACAAACACATCATCGAAATAACTCGGTACAAAAACTCACTCGCACAGACCTGCAACACCACATCCCACCCCACCCAGGTCCTTGAAAAGCACGCGGTCTTGTCCATCCTGGGCCTTTAAAGCTGTTGCCTTTATCTAAGACGCCATCTTTTTTTAATCTGAGAATATTGAATGCTGGGAAACGTAAGTAAATTGTCAAGGGGTTTGGAAAGGGAAGAAAGTGGAGTTCGACAGGGGAGACAGTTCAAAGGAATGATCCCAAATACTTATTTCGTCTTGGTACTTACTGCGATAAGAAGACGCAACCATGAAAAGACTTAGACCTACTGCCATTTTTTTTTCTAGCCAAAAGACTAGAAATTTGATAATAAACATTTAGTGTAGAATTTTCTGTAACAATGTTTAATGATCCCACCCCTATTTTTTAAAATATCTTTTAGTAGCACTTTTCAGTAAGACTAAATTGGCAGTAGAGGTCTAATTTGATCCAACTTTGAATAGCCAAACCTATTTGATTATCTTAGACTAGATAGATTATTGCTTATACGCAAAAGAGAAACATTACAACTAAATCTCACGTGCTTTCATGCTAGCAAAGATATCAATCATTTTAATCGAAATCTCCGTCAGCTCTTGTTCAACGGACATAAATTACCGAAATTGTGAGTCGTAAATTTGTCATCGTTCATAGGCAGTAAATGCTAATTAACTATACTCTAAACAAACTTGCTTGCATGTAGTTACACTTACCTCCCAAGCAGGCCGGTCCTACAAATTGCGGGGCTCTATGCGAAACGGATTGGGCGGAGCCTAGTCGTGCTATGGATGACGATAATAAATGAAAATTAAGATTTTTTGCTAGAAAATAAATTCGTCTTTGCATTTTATTCGTACTTTTCTAAATGTAAGATCAAATTAATTTTACAAGCGATCTACAATAGATAGTTTTCCAACATAAAGCCGATAAACCTTCAGATCTGCCTTTTACATTTACTATCGACTAGCAAAATATCGCTTTTGATTTTTTTTTTAAGAAATCGAGATAGATTTAGATCTATGTTTAAATGCCATTGACTATTACAGTAAATTAATATATTGGAACTTACTGTTTTGGTTACAATTCGCCCAATTATTTTTATTAAATGAAAGCTGCAAAGCCGTTTTTTTAAACCGCGAGTAAGACTGGCGCTTTCCATATTAAATGTCACACCAAAATTACAATTTTGTCTATTTTTCAGAACATGTTTTGAGTTTTCAGGATATTTTAATAATTAATTTAATTTTAGGAGATTTTCATGACTTTTTTTCGTATACTTCGCAATTTCAGGAGATTTCCAGGAGCACCTGAAAAATCAGGAGACCGCGGAAAGCCTGTTGTAAGTTAAAATGGCTTAATTGAATAATTTACTACTACTAAAGTTAGCGCGGGGCCTATGAAAGTGCGGGGCTCACTGAGGCCGCATAGGTTGCAGTGCCATAAGACCGGCCCTTCTCCCAAGTCAGAAATATATGAAAACGATGATTATAGCTGGGAGCGAATATTCTAACCGATTTTGATTTTTATTAAACATAAATGCTCAGCAGGTTCTTGTTTTAGACATTCGGAGGCTTCTGAAGAAACTGACAAATCTGTTGAAAGCATATTTCGCTCCTGACGAAATTCTATCTATCCATGTTGACAAGAGCACAATCCGAGATTGACTTCGATAGTTGGGAAGACGTCAAATATTTATCTTACGTTTGTTGTTTTTCTGAAACAATCATGCCCAAAGAAAACTTAAGTTCCCCCACGAAGCTCTTGTGTGTCGTATAGAATCTTATGTATAGTCTGGCGCGTTTATCTTGTCGTTCTGCACTAATTTTAGATCTAAATACATGCAGTCAAAGAGTCTTTCCAAAACTTTCCCTCCTCGTGCACTTAAATCTTGAGCCTTGCTTGTCAACGCTGCTTCCTACTCGCAAACTTCCACCTTCCTCCAAGCGATGACTGAATGTGAGCCCTGCAGTCTTTTGGTTTTCCATGTTCGACAACAACGTCCACCACATATTGAATCCATCGTTGGAGTTAAATACCAGAGATGTAGTACTTGATTTTGTTGAGGACAGCAAGGAGGAGAGCAAAATAAGGATTCTTTTTTTTTTGATGAGCAATACATACACTTTTTAATAACTTTGTCACCAGTTGGCATTTGCCGGAAGAACCATAACTTTGAAAGCTTCGTCGTCTTTACTTTTGCTGATTCTTGATGTCCTTAGATTTCTCTGAATTGGCTATCCATAAGCCGAACTGATTCAGATCGTTGAGTGACAGGGTGTATTAGAAAATCATCTGTAATGTCTTCAGTCCGAACTCCAATGTCGTTAGGTCTAGAGTGTGACCCTGTATTTTTTAAATTTTTTTTTTTTTACTGAAATACTCAAGGGAATAGAAACTTAATACACATTGGGGTAAAGTTTGATGTCCTTCACAATCATTCGCACGTGGGTCGCTACGCCTCTGGGCTCTGCTGACCTGGCTGTGGCCTACATGTTTTGCAGCATCGTCAGAGCTTGCGCTTGCCTTTTGCGGAAGCTTTCTTTTTGTTTCTGTTCCACTGGCATTGTAACAGTTCTCCGGCTATTTCTTTCGGAAGCCAGTGGTTGCCAGGTCTGTGTACATCTATTTGTGTCAAATTGGGAAAACGGACCATCGAATTTGGTTTTGATGGGGAAGCACATTTATTTTTAAGACGTCCTTTTTAAAGCACGGTAAGCTGCGCAATGACATGCGCAGAGGGCGAAAAGAGAAATTTAATTGGACTCCAACAAACTACGGCTTGTCTGCGTTACAGTTCAATCTGTAGATCTCAATGAGACATTGCACTCTTCTTCAATCTGTAGAACTCGGTGAAACACTGCACTCTTCTTCAATCTGTAGATCTCAGTGAAACACTGCACTCTTCTTCAATCTGTAGTTCTCAGTGAAACACTTCACTCTTCTTCAATCTGTAGATCTCAGTGAAACACTTCACTCTTCTTCAATCTGTAGACTCAAAGACTTAAGATCAGTTCGTCCACATCTGTGGCTTTAGGAGGTGGCGAGTGAAGCAGTCGCTCCAGGCCGAGACTATTCGTTATAGAAGACCCGTACACTGACCTGCAACGTCACAGCCTGTGGTCAGTTTAGACCAATAGCTCGTTGCCACGTCGTGCAGACCTGTGACGTAGCAACGAGCCATTGGTCTAAACTGCCGCACCTTAGAAGGCCAGAATGTTTCGTCAACGTCAGACTATCTTACAAATATTCGTGGCTATGATATGACACTCGTCGAGGGCCTTGCGCACTGCTAAGGCGGTACCTTCAATATGGAGGTCACGGCTAAGGCCGCATCTGCGTTGTAAAGATTCATCTTATGGATTTTGTATTGAAATATTATCATTTATTTAGTTGATGAAGCCCAAAAAAAGTTATTGTAATGGCCTTGCCAAGGTTAAATATATGATCTCATTAAAAAAAACAAAAACCACAAAACATCCATCCAACAATATATTTTCATCAAATAAGTTTGTTTT